TTACTTACCTACTTACTTAGTTACTTACTTACTTACTTACGCACTTACTTACTTACTTACTTACTTACTTATGCACTTACTTACTTACTTACTTACTTACTTACTTACTTACTTACTTACTTACATACTCACTTACTTACTTATTTACGCACTTACTTCCTGACTTACTTACTTACTTGCTTACTCACTTACTTACTTACTTACTTACTTACTTATGCACTTACTTACTTACTTACTTACTCACTTACTTACTTACTTTCTTACTTACTCACTTACTTACTTACTTACATACTTACCTACTTACTTACTTACTCACTTACCTACTTACTTACCTACTTACTTACTCACTTACTTACTTACTTACTTACTTACTTACTTACTTACTTACTTACTTACTTACTTACTTACTTTCTTACTTACTTACTTACTTACCTACTTACTTAGTTACTTACTTACTTACTTACGCACTTACTTACCTACTTACTTACTTACTTACTTACTTACTTACTTACTTACTTACTTACTTACTTACTTACTTACTTACATACTCACTTACTTACTTATTTACGCACTTACTTCCTGACTTACTTACTTACTTGCTTACTCACTTACTTACTTACTTACTTACTTACTTACTTACTTACTTACTTACTTACTTACTTACTTACTTACTTACTCACTTACTTACTTACTTACCTACTTACTTATTCACTTACTTACTTACTTACTTACTTATGCACTTACTTACTTACTTACTTACTTACTTACTCACTTACTTACTTACTTACTTACTTACTTACTTACTTACTTACTTACTTACTTACTTACTTTCTTACTTACTTACTCACTTACTTACTTACTTACTTACTTACGCACTTACGCACTTTCTTACTTACGCACTTACGCACTTACGCCTGTCCCCCCCAACGGAGCATGGGCCGCTGACCAGTGTTTTCGAACCTACTCTGTTCTGGGCTTCCCTTTCCTGTTCTGTCCAATTTTTGTTCATTCTTCTCGCATCTTTCTCTATTTATCGGTCAGTTAGTTTGTTCAAAAGCTAGAACAAGACATATGGTCTCAACATATTGGTTTACACACTAAAAATGTTTAGCTTCGCATAAAATCTATGGCATTCAATTCTTCCTTGTTTAAAATAGTTAGTTTTTAGTGGTTCAATATTTTGTATCATTTTGCAATACAAATTAAGTCTTTTTATAAATTGATTTATCTTCCAGCAACATGAGACTGCTCAGAGGTGTATATCTATGTTCAACCTACAGATAGAACTCAAGACATTATTATCTTATGGAGAAATTTTAATCCTTAGAATAAATAGATCTGCATCCGATTGTACAATTCTAATATTCAATCAGTTTCTCTGTAATTATTCAATGACACTGATGAAATTTGTTTTATTGCTAACATGTGTCTGAAATTTACCAATTACTGAAGTAAATTGTTAGTAATAAGTTCGTCAATATAGTTTAATTGAAGTGTTTTATGGAGATTAATTTAATTTTTGAATTGTATTTTGCATAGTTACGGTATTTCAATGAAAATAATTGAAAAAATAAGAAATTTATCGATCGACTATTTTAAATAAATAAAACTCTTGGGGATGTTAGATCCCCAAAACTCGCTTGTTAAATGCCTTATTTTGGATTTCACGTTTGCGAGCATGGGCTGATCAGTTGACCTTGAGATTTCATTTCTCACCAGGTAAATCCATGGCTGTGATTGGATGCTGTGTATTTTAGTGTGCTATTTTCTTAACTGTCCCAAGGACGTTTCTATGATGTATAAATAAACGAGAGTTGTATGCTTGATTGTATTGTGATTGCTGGGTGTTTGTAGAATATACTTTCTACGCCTACAAAGCCTTTTATACTTCAGGTTGGGATTCAAGGTAGCCTACCTGGACGTTGGTAATTGTCTCGTTCGCGTTTATCGACTAAGGTGAACTCGTAATAGCTTCAAGCGTACCTAGTGACGAACATATCAAAAACATAAAGCGCCATTATAATAGTAAATGAAATTATTTTTCCACTCATAAAAACCCATCATCAATCATATAATAAGAATTAAATCAAGAATTAACCAGAAATTATCCAAACAAACACTACAAGTACGCTTGAAATATTCATATCAAATCGACTTATACATTTTATAGAGTAGTATACATCTAGGCATCAAATGCCAAGCACCCATGTACACATCCATGAATTAGTACACTAGGTTTATATCCAGTTACTGATAATATCTGTATTGACTTCTAATGTTAGCTTGTCGTACACAGATCGAATTATTATTCTCTTGGAGGTGGATTTCGAGCTAAAATATGCATTTTTGATAGATCAGTGAAACTTTTCAATGAACATTTTTTTTGTACATCTATTTATTTTGTTTTCATTTTAAAAATTAACATAATTTGATGAAGGAGAAGTAATCAATCACACGTGACTTTAAATGTACTTTTCTCATAACATTTAATTTGAATGCCTTAATTTCTTTTCTTTTATTTTCTTCTTCTTCTTCTTCAACGAAGAAATATTGAAAAAAAAATAAAATAACAATCAATAATATTTGGAAGAAACGATAGTTTTGTTTTAATTGTTTGTTATTATCATTTTTTTTATGATGTGAATGATATAAGTCAGTGATTTTGTTGGTTTTAGCATAAAAATTAGGCTGTTTGTATCAATGAACAGCTTCATATAGTCTTAGTTATAATTATATATTGATTTTATTGATTACCTTATTCAGGATATATGGTGTATTGTTTTCTTTTATAGAGAAAGATATTAGCATTCATTATGATAGATATATATATATTTACCGCTAAGCCAGCGTACATGAAGTCCATCACGAAGCCAGGTGCATGCAATTCAGAAAACTTGTAAATGGCAAGCCGAATCGAACTTCTTAAACAGTAGCGTAAAATGTTTGAATTGGGAACCATAACGGGATGGAGTGCATGTATATTGCATACAACTCTCTTTGAACCTATTTAACTTATGTTTAAAGTGATATGATTTCAGTTAGAAAGTATCATTGGTCATGCTCAGATAATAAGGTATTTGTCACCAGTATCAAATGAATGAACATTGTGTTACATCTTAAATTGGTTAAAAAGCCGACCTATGTATTCTAGTGATTAGGTATTCTCCACGAGGTCTCAATATTTTGAGCCTGATCCCATGTGAGGTTGTGCGTGTACGTGCCATTTGTTAAGCAATTTAGAATTAATAAGAAAAACAAACGGTTCATGTCCACTAATTTTCAATGGTATCCTGTTACGCTCGTCATTAGGCACGCTTGAAGCTATTACGAGTTCACCTTAGTCGAGAATTAACAGAGTCCAGGTAGGCTACCATGAATCCGAAACTGTAAAACAGATGTCTTGATAAGTGTAGAAATTGTATAGGATAATCGATACTCTAATCGAATTATTCAAATACAAAATTATGGTCAATACAGTTATCGAATAATTCAAACGAAAGTACAATGAATGAATGATGAGATGCTACAATCTCAAGGTCAACTGATCGGTCCATGAAATAAATCCAAAATAAAGATATTTATCAAGCGAGTTCTGGGGATCTAACATCCCCAACATATCCTAAATGGCATCAATTATACAATGAATAAAACTTGCAAATTGAACCCTCGCTTCACAAAATCTCTTTAACCAGTATGAGCCGGGTCTATGTTGCAATAAAACTCGTTTATTTGTTATTACAGACATTCAATAATTCGAATGTCTTTTATGTTGTAGGTTGACATTTTTTTCATTGATAATCATAAGAAAAGAAGGAATGAATAATACAAAAGTACACACGGATGAATCAATCTTATTTCAGTTAATTATTTCAATATGACAGTTGCATAGTTGAAACAAACATCTACTGACAATCAGCCGTATACTTTGTGATCAAATTCGAGAATATAAATACAACAGAAAATACTTTTAGAAGATTAATTTTTTATAAGATTATATTGAGGAATTAAGGCCAGCAGTATGTCAGGATAAACGTGCTGTTTTTATGTTTCACAGTATATATATATATAAACTTCTCAGGAATAAGTAGCCGATCAAATATGGACTCCTTTTTCACTTGTTCGCAAATAGATCTAATACGATTGATCAATGCTTTAAGTAATAAAAGTGTGTTATTTTTAATTTCTTCATCAGTATAAAATGTCAACTTTAGTCAATAGCCGATACAGAAATTGATTGATTATAGAGTAGTAATGAATATCATATTTATCTCGTCCTTTTATACAAATCGATTTTTATCGATCAAGTTGTAATGTGATCTTTGATCTAAGTAATTTGATATCACATTCACTATGTTCAGATTTTAGATGATTGTAATTGGCCGAAAAAAAACTTTAAACCTAAATTTTGTGCTAGTTAGGTGTATTCAACAAGATGTACCTATAATTTTGTGGTAACTAATATATCCTGATGAATTTAAAATGGAAATCATTCAATTTCATAGTTCTAGAAGTGTTGTTACAGAACCGTTAAGTAAAGATTGCAATGATTTGTATATCATTATTTCTGTCTATTGTAAAAACTACCGACAAATCGGAATTTACAACCTTATTTATCCAAAAACAAAGTACATTTCAATTATGTGAATGTTGATATGACAAAATAGTGAAAATCCTGCCAGGAGCAGTAGATGTGGATGCGCAGTGCTGATGAGTTTTATACCAGGAAAAAACGGCCGTCCAATGCTTGCAGGTTTCTAATGGTGGTCTAACAATGACTGATTGATGATATCAAATGTGTAAAAACACAAACCTCCCAAACTCTGCCCCTAAACATCTATTATTCATTGTTTCGATCAAATACACATATATATATATATATATATATATATATATATATATATATATATATATATATATATATATATATATATATATATATATATATATAGCATTTTGTTTGTATCATTTAGAAAAAGAATATTACTGAAATGAAATCATACTTATTTTGTTTCTAATTTTGATTTTGAATTTGCTGAAGCGTACTTTTCTTTTGAATTAGTAGTAGTAATAATAATAGTCGTAATGATAGTAGTAGTAGTAGTAGTAGTAGCAGTAGTAGTAGTAGTAGCAGTAGTAGTAGTAGTAGTAGTAGTAGTAGTAGTAGTAGTAGTAGTAGTAGTAGTAGTAGTAGTAGTAGTAGTAGTAGTAGTATAATTATCATTCATATTTATTGATTTTGTTTATCATAATTACTGACTTTGGAATTGAATTGAATGAAGAGAAAAGACACGGAGAGGTCATTAGTTTATACCATGATATAACTTCCTAGTTAACCTTTTAGAGCTGGTATAGTTCAGTGATTGTGGAAGTGGATAGGACACACACTGCGAAAAGCACCCAACTGCTTCTCAAGACAAGTCCTCACATAGAACCATCAAGGTCAAAGGAAAAGAGGAAGGCCAAAGAACACATTACCCCGAGAAATAGAGAAAGATATGAGAAGAATAAACAAAAACTGGGCAGAACTAGAAAGGGAAGCCCAGGAAAGAGTTGTTGGTTGGAGAAAACTGGTCGGTGGCCTATGCTGCATTGGGGGTAACAGGCGTAAGTAAGTAATAGTTCAGTGATTTACAACTTCTATGAAATCACTGATGATTGTGTTACAGTGCTTTTTTCCCCTTTTTTTTATATTCATCATAATAATGACAAGAATTTTCATTATTCAAGCCAAACATGTTCAATTTTTTACTTCAACTAGCCTATATCTATTACTGTATGATAATTTTTCTCTGTAGTTATTTTTTTCCTTCTCGTTATAATGTTGTGTTCAGTCTGTATTTTTTTTTCTCATTAAAAAACATTATCATATTGTTTGCACAGTGAATCTATCTTTTTTTGGTACTCAATTGTATTAAAAAATTTATGCATTGTCAATCAATAAGAATTCCTACCTTATTATTATAATATATATATATATATATATATATATATATATATATATATACATATACATATATATATATGTTAACGATTTACTACAATTGTTCAATTATTCAACAATTATCTCTGAGTATTTTTAGTATAGTATTTTTTCTTGATCAAACTATCAATGACACATGATATAATTTGCTCAGTAAGCAATCAATATGTCTGATAATTAACAGTGATAAATATAGAATTTTACATAGAAAAAGCAGTCATCATATCATAATGATGTTAGACAGTGGATGTTTTAAATACAATTAACACGATTCATTGAATATGATTTACTTTGCACATATTTAGTATTTGATGGAGGTGGAGGGACGAAAAAGTAGATTGTTTTACTCTGTCAGGATAAAGTAATGAAATCTGTACTCTGGAGGTTTGTTCATCACAATCACGAGTGTCTAACACAACGCAAATGTTGTTTTCTTTCAACAATAAACACTGCATTGGTGTTAAGTAGCAAGTAATTGTGGAATGTAGGTCAAATGCAACTTAAGAATGATTCAGTATTTTAATATGATTGATTTATTAGTTTAGTAATCGCAAAGTGAAACTGATCAGTTCATACTATAAAACAAAACACCTTGCTTGCAGGTTATATTCATTCAGGATATCATAATTCACATCTCATTTACAATGGTATACAAAGTAGACGAGATGACAAGAATAGAGTAGAAGAATAATTAAATACAATGCAGAGGTTGTGATTATCATATTAGTTTTGAAGATAAAATGCTGTATTAATATTAGTAGTAGTAGTAGTAGTAGTAGTAGTAGTAGTAGTGTTGAATTGTCAGAAGTATTCACATCAGTTTTCTAGTTTACTTCTGTTATTACACATGTCAAATCATTAATCAATCATTGTTAGACCACCATTAGAAACCTGGAAGCACTGGACGGCCGTTTCGTCCTGGTATGGGACTCATCAATAGCAGTGCGCATCCACGACTCCTGCACCTCGCAGGAATCGAACCCAGGACCTTCGGTATTGTGCTCGAACTCCTAACCGTCGGACCACTGGTTTGGCATCCAACGGGGTTAATGTCTAACTCTGATTGATCTATGGATTTTGTGCGACTTCACCCATTTGTCTTTGGTAGTTACTGCCTACACCTGACAGGGTTGAACTCGATTGGTCACGTCTTCTTGACTAGAACTCCGAGAATTTCCTCACGAAGCTAGTCACTAGTGAGCACTGTTATTATGTTCTCGGGCAGAGTTTTTGGAGGTTTGTGTTTTTACACATTTGAAATCATCAATCTGTAAGTTTTAAAGCTTTTTAATATTCCTATGTTGTCTACCCTAAAGAATGATCAATTTAGCACTTGGTGTTAATATGGGATAATAATCTCAAGTTTGACATTCTATGTATATGTCATTGATGTGCTATAATTTCATTTCATAAAACTATCTTACAGAAATTTGATTAAATTACTATAGTAATCACAGACTTTGTCGGAAACCGAAGACCGTTGGAAACTGGTGAATGAAGTGGTTATTTGGAGCTATTTTTCGACTTTGTACTAAGTCAAAACTATAACCGTTGTCTTATGACAAGCACTAGGGATCAAAGTGTTTACCAACCCTACGGGATTTTATTTATTATCATACCCATTCAATATTGAGTAGATGATACGATTTTGATTAGTACTCGAATACAATGCATATTGCAGTCACATATGTGATCATTCAGAATTCGAATAGTTCAGTTTTCGGGTATCTGACTTTCGAACTATGTAACACAAGTTCTCTACTGCTTACCATTGTTATTCTAGCTGCAAATCTATGTTCACTGGTTAAATTGCATTGCTTTGGATCATTAAACATAAAACGAAGTATACATAAATGTTAAGTCATTAAGTCTAGTGACCGCATTTTAACTTGATTGACAGAATTCTATTATTGCTACGACCTTAATATTAGTTGCAAGACTAAATAATGTATATTTTTTACAACCACAACATATCTTCTTAATATTCTAATGTTTATTGATGTTTTTTTCTCTAATAGTATCTTTTTTTTGATGGAACGTGTTTAGAGGTCATTTGATTCATTCTAATCACACTAACTGATTCTGCATTTATCATGTAATCATATCACACATTCTGCTTATGAGTCAGTGTTTAACAGTAATTATAACAGATGTATACTAAATTTGTTTATTTCTTTTCCAATAATATCAGAAAATTGATGATAGATTTCTGTTGATTAATTAGTTAAAAAAATGCAAGTCATATTTTCTAAACACTTATAGATGGTCGGGCTCAGTAGTCCAAAGGTTAGGCGTTCAAGCTCAGGACCGAAGGTCCAGGGTTCGTATCCTGCAAGGTGCAAGAGTTGTGGATGCACACTGTAGATGAATCCCATTCCATGATGAAATGGCCGTCCAGTGCTTCCAGGTTTCTAATGGTGGTCTAACAATGATTGATTTATATATGGATATTCTTTGGTTCTTAAAAAGTATGCAGAATCATATAAGTCAGTAATTTACTTCACTTGGGATAATCTATTCTCTTAAATTTTGTACAATATTCGATTGTATATTCTGAAGGAAAAATTTAAAATGTTAAATATTCAATAGTAGCAGTTTTATTCTATTGGAAAATTAACAGCTAAAAGTACATTTAAACACTAATAACTATTGATGTTTCCGTTTATATATTTGAAGTCACGTTAACTTTTATAGAACTATTCACCTGATTCACTAGTGACTTTTCTTACTTTATTCAATGATCATTAGTTTTTATTAAAGTAAAATTGTACATAATATTATTATGGTAATTTTGTTAACTGAATTATAATTAAAATTTTAATTTGTTTAATCTATAACTAATAAAAACTGAACATCGGAAAAAAGGATAAAAGAAAAAATAGATAAAAACTAACAAAACAAATAGGAAACTAGGAGATTTATGTAGAGTTGATAAGAGTTTAAATTGTTTAACATCCTTATTATCTATATGAATATCATCAGAGATCCGTTTTAGAAATCCCATCTGAAATTTTTGTACATTGTGAAAATTAACATAAAATTTGTATATATGAGAAAATTTAAATAAAAGGGAAACAAGAGTAAAAATGAAATTACAACTTAGTTATGAAACAAGATGTACTTATAGCTAACAATCAAAACAATCGATAACAATTAGCAGTAGTACATGTTTGAAATCAAGGAAATCTGTTCAATAAAACTGAAAATTGGTGGAATAATATTTAAAAATGAAATAATTAAAAATATATATATATTAACTAGTAGTGTATATAGTGAAAGTTAATTCCAACGTTTTTTTCTATTCGCCTCTTTGTTCAATCTTGTCTATAAGTATTTTAACTAGTGGCTGACCTAACGTAAATCTATTGAGATGGTAGAGAAAATTTGTGGCTCAGGTGGATGATTGTGGTGGTATTTGGTTCTCTGAGCTGGATGTTTTTGGGTTGTGGAGCTTCTATCTTAAATTTTGGGCTGATGATGTTGTTCAGTAGAAGAATGTAAGCTCCACAACCAAAACATCCAGCTCAGAAAACCAAACACCACCACAGTAAATCTATTGCTTCAAAAAGTCAAATAAATGTAACTACTGGTTAAGTGAATAAGATTTAGTTAAATTCAATACAAATTCTAGGTTAATTTATCATGAAACAAGTTAATGTAAACAAACGAAATTGGAACGCTACATTAAAGACAATAAGAAACTGGAATAGAAAAATTAAATTTACAATTTTGTAATTCAATAAATTATTATGGAAAGTTTTTATTACAAATAAACGGAATATTTCTATTTTCTTGAAAGTTTTTTTCAAATGAGTATATATATGTATATCAATCAATCGCAAAACAGTTTATCTTATGCATGGTGGTTACTAATTTCTGTATAAAATAAAGAAATCAAATTATACGCTCATGTTTATCAGTCGATGAGCTGTAGATATACTCTCAGTAACACGTTTCATTTATTTGGTGTATTATATCATACAGTTTAATTATGAAGATTTTTAAGTTTATGAATTAATATACTAGAAATTATGAAAACTAAATGTTACAATTAAGTTGACATCAAAAGAACATAAATTTTTACTTATACAGTTAGGTGGTCAGCCAGAAACTATACTTGACTGTGATTACATTACTTGTTGATACGTGTTAGCAAGACGTGCTTGCAGACGTGTGTGTGTGGGAAGCTATATTGTATACAGTAGTTGAACCTACATTATTCAACTGTATCGTCTAAGACCTTTT